CCCCCCCCACTCCTGCAGCGTGTCCCTGGTGAACAAGGCTGCCGTGGACTACTTCTTCGTGGAGCTGCGCCTGGACGCGCACTTCGAGGCGCTGCGGCACTTCCTGCTGATGGAGGACGGGGAGTTCGCCCAGTCCCTCAGCGACCTGCTGTTCGAGAAGGTGGCCGCGGGCGGCGGGCCGTGGGGTGTGCGGCGCCCTGGCCGTGCCCTTGGGCCCCGTGCCGACGCCTGGGCCTCTCCCTTCCAGCTGGGGGCGGGGCAGACGCCGGGGGAGCTCCTCACCCCGCTGGTGCTCAACTCCGCGCTGAGCAAGGCCCTGCAGCACAGCCTGCACGGCGACAGCCCGCTGGCCGCCAACCTCTCCTTCGCCCTCAAGTTCCTGCCGGAGGCCTTCGCCCCCAACGCCCCCGATGTACTGAGCTGCCTGGAGCTCAGGTACCAGGTCAGCAGGGCCTGCCGTGCGGGCGCGGCGGGGTCCGTCCCGAGGGCGCGCGCTGAGCCGGCTTCCCGGCAGGTGGACTGGCCCCTCAACGTCGTGGTCACCGACAGCAGCCTGAGCAGGTACAGCGGCATCTTCTCCTTCCTGCTGCAGCTGAGGCTCATGATGTGGACGCTCAAGGATGTCTGCTTCCACCTCAAGCGCACAGGTGAGGCCCGGCTGGGGCCCGAGCACCCGCTGCGCGCGCGGCCCGTGCTGACCGGCCCGCCCCCCCCGCCCCCCGCGCAGCGCTCGTGAGCCATGCGGGCGGCTCCGCGCAGTTCCGCCAGCTGCAGCTGTTCAAGCACGAGATGCAGCACTTCGTGAGGGTCATCCAGGGCTACGTGGCCAGCCAGATACTGCACGTCACCTGGTGTGAGTTCCGGGCCCGGCTGGCCGCGGCGGGCGACCTTGAGGAGGTGCGGCGCGCCCATGCCGAGTACCTGCACAAGGCTGTGTTCAGGTGAGGCCGGCGCCGCCGCGGGGCGGGGCGGGGCGGCCCGGGTGGGCGCCCACGCGGCGTGCGCCTGCCGCCGCCGGGCCCCCACGCAGCGCCTTGCCCGCAGGGGCCTGCTGACGGAGCGGGCGGCGCCCGTCATGAACGTCATCCGCAGCCTCTTCAGCCTGGTCCTCAAGTTCCGCAGCCAGCTCATGTCCCGGCCCTGGGGCCCAGTCGGCCCCCGGGGCGCTGAGCACCCCAACTTCGCCCTCATGCAGCAGTCGTACAGCGCCTTCAAGTACTACTCCCACTTCCTCTTCAAAGGTGATGCTCCCGGGGCGGGGCGGGCGGGGCGGGCGCGGGCGGGGCAGGTGCTGACTGGACCCCCCTCCCCACCCCCAGTGGTGACCAAGCTGGTGAACAGGGGCTACCAGCCCCACCTGGAGGACTTCCTGCTGCGCATCAACTTCAACAACTACTACCAGGATGCCTGAGGGGCCGCGCGCAGGTGTGAGCGGGCATGAGCTACTGCGGGGAGGGAGGGGGCAGGACACACAGATGGGGCAGGAAGCTGCTTTATTTAGGGGCTATCTTCAGCCCTTCCCAGGTGGCAAGGGGGTCAAGCCAGGTCACCCCTCCCCCATCCACCAGCCGGGCTCTGCCCTTGTGCAAAGTAGCTCTTTGTAGGGAGCATGTGGGGTAGGCTGCCGAGTCCGCATCAGACACAGACGGGTCAGGTCTTGACTGGGCATCTCTGCCGTCATGGAGAGGTGGGCATGGAGGGCTGTCCCCAGCAGCTGGGGACCACCTCATGGACTCAGCAGGACTCGGGGCCTGGGGGCCTCTGGTGTGGGACCTCCACGGCAGTTACGAGGATCATGTCACACACAGCTCTGCAGCCCAGAGTGGGGGCTTGCTGCTGTAGGGGTGCTGCCCACCAGCTGCTCCACTCGCCTCCCCAAGCTCTGTGGCTTCCAGCACCTGGGCTGTGTCCCCATCCCTGGCGTAGGGGGCCTCCAGCAGCTTCAGCACCCGCTGCACCTGCGAAAGGCCATGTTAGGGATGCCCTTCCCACCCGGGGCCACCCCTGCTGCAGGACCCACGGGCGGCAGTGCCTGCTGTGCTTGCCTCTGAGAAGTCCCCATTCTCGGCAGCCTCAATGGCGTTCTGGGCCATGTAGTTCCGCAGGATATACTTGGGGTTGTTGGCGTGCATGACACTCATGTGCTCGGCCTGCCAGGCAGCATCCCCGCCTGCGTCTTCTCGGTCCTTCTCCAGCCGGGCTCTGCAATCACACCCGAGCCCCACCCCTCTGGCATTTGTGCAGCCACCTTGTGGGGAGACTGTGGTACAGGCAGTCAACTGACCCCAGCTGTGGCTGGCCTCACCTGTACTCCTGGAGCCAGAGGTCCCAGTGGGCCCTGTTCCTGCTCAGCAGCGCATCTGGACTCAGCTGCTCCAGTCGCGACTGCTGCTCCACACGCTCCAGCTCCTTGGTAAGGTTGGCCCGGGTGCCAATGAGTGCCAGGAGCTGCGGGTTCGACTGCGCCAGCATCAGCATCATGGAGAGCTGCCTGTGCCGAGGGACCGTAGGAGGTGTGTCCATGAGGCCATGATGTCCCCATGGCCAGCAGCGGGCAGTGTTCTGGGAAGGACCGCCAGGCGTCTGGAATGACACCCATCTCAGCCTGGAGCTGGAGGCAATGTCCTCGGTGGCTCTACAACCCCACCAGGGGGCGAGCCCAGAACCAGCCGATGACGCGGGCGTGGACACCTCACCACCCTTATTCTGTGGCAGCCCATCCACGTGATGGGGCAGATGCCACAAGCTGACAGGTAGTCCTGTTGAGTGGGTAGGGACCTCCCCAGAAGGTCACTGCTATCAGTTCCTCCCATGTGACATAGGCCTGGGTTCTTCCCCACTTCCAGATGGGCCCGGGGACCTGAACAGTCCCCAGCACCCCTTCCCCAGTGATACTGGCTCTGCGTCCAGCTGGTCTTTCCGTCTCCTGGGGGCCATCAGCCCATCCCTTGTATGTCACATTAAATTCCTACCTGACCAAGATTTGCTGGCTTGTTTAGCAAATGTATAACTTACTTAATGCTTCCTGTGCTTTATCCTGAATGTGGTCGCACCCTTGGGACACGGTGGGCTCTTCCCAATGAGAGATGGTACAGTCTGGTTGGAAACCTTGTGGGAAACTGTCCCAGGACTGCCCCCAGCCAGTGCCAGCATCACTGTCCCTCTAACCAGTGGGCCTCAGTGCTGCAGGGACAGGAACCTGGCTACCCCTGTTCTGGCCGTGGAGCAGCCATCTGTGCCCCCAGGGGCCCCAGCTAACCTGTCACCAACATTCACCAACGTGCACTTTCCCCTATATGCTCCACTCTCAATGTTCTTCCCTTTCTGGAACCAAATTCCAAGGAAGCAAAGTTTGAATACCTACCGAGGATCCATCTGGGGCCGGAAGGCCAGCCTCAGCTCTTCCAGGGAGGCACACTGTGCGGTCAGCGCGGTCAGGAACTCGTCCAGGCCCAGAGACTGTGGCCCGGCTGGGAAGGAGCTCAGCAGGGAGAAGGTGTTGGTGAAGTCAGCGCCTGCAATCACAGCTGCTCAGGCCACTGCTGGCAGGCCCAGGTCCTGTGCGCCCTGCATACCCCCGCCTAGTCACCAGACCAACATGCTTGCCTGCCCAATGTGGAGGCCTGCTCAGTGTTGCGTCCAAGGACTCCTGACCCCTGCTCTCCAGCCCATTCTGCAGCCCCCCCATCTGCCACCCGGCTCAGCTGCCGCTCTGAACCTAACGTCACTCCAAGCCCACTTCTTTGTCTGTGAAATGGGTAAATATGGTGAGGGCACAGGTCAGCCCTGGCCTCACCACTGCCCACTTCAGGAGTAGCAGAGTTGCAAAAAGCCCCCAAAGCTCAGCCAGCCCAGGGGTCAGCACACAGCAGGTACTGAGGCCCACAGCCTGACCTGTGCAGACACACTGTCACTGTGACCCTGAGAAGACACCCAGATACATACACAGAGTGAGAAGGGGGCTGACACCTTGACTCCACAGAACAATCAACTAAACACAGAGAACAAGACACTGCAAGGGTGTGAAACAACAAAGCGAAGTGGCAGAGACCCTTAATGGTAATCACTTCAAGGTAAACGGGTTAATTTCTCCAGTCAGAAAGCAGAGATTGGCAGATGGATTAACCAAAAAGATGGGGTCTACTACACACTGTAAGATACTTTCAATTTCTGTCTGAAGTGAAAGGATGGAAGAAAATACCCCTCACAAATAGTAACAAATAGTAACTTAAAGAGAGCAGGTGGCTATACTAATAGCAGTATATTTTGTCTGTAAATTAAAAGCTTCTAAAAGACAAAAGAGAACAGCAAGAGTCGGTTCTTCAAGAAGATGTAACAGTTATAGGCAGGTACCGAAGGAGCACCAAAGTACACATAGTAAACAGACCAGTCCAAGAACAGGAGCCGGAGATGCCGCCCCACTTTGAGTGGCCACCTGGACACCGCTGAAGCTGTGGAGCCACGGTCTTCTCGAGTGCACACCGGACAGTCTCCATGACAGACCACACTTCAGACCATAACAGAAATCTTACTACTTTTAAAAAGCCTGTTATCTTTTCTAGCCACAATGGAATGAAGCTGAAAATGACAGAATACTATGAGCGATTTATGCCAACAGGTAAGTTAGATGACATAAATAAACTCCTAGAAACAAATGACAGAAACAAAATCAAAACAGTCCCATAATAAGGAGACTGAATCAGATGAAAACCTCCCAATGAAGAAAATGTTAAAAGCAGATGGTGGCACTGGTGACCTGCACCAACCATTTAAAGAGCAACAATCCTACTCAAAACTCTTGCAAACAGCAGGAGGGAACACTGGCCGACACATTTTATGACACCGGCATTGCTTTTGCTGAAGCCAAAGACACCACAAGAAAAAAACACCAACACCCCTTGCAAATACAGACTGGAGCCCTTGGCAGGGAGAGACGTGAGCATCTTGCTCACCCTGTGAGGACGCAGCAGGAAGACTGCCTTCTGGGACCCACGAGAGCCTCACCAATGAGCTGCCCACCTGGCACCTTGTGGCCTCCAGCACTGGGTTCAGCTGCCCAGTCTGGTTTATTACAGCCATTCAAGTTGACTAAGGCGGAGTATGAATTAGGAGTAGAACAATGTGATCATCTTAACTGGTACCGAAGGGGAAAAACAATCAAACTAGGAATAGAAGGAAATGTCCTTAATCTGGTAAGGGCCACATATGAAAAAGTCTACAGGTACCACCACACTCAGCAGTGAGGGACAACAGGTGGGCTTCCACGTCAGCCACTCCTCTTCAACACAGTCCTAGAAGCTCCCACTAGAGCAACTGGGAAGGTAAACAGGACCCAGAATCCTGCTACACGTCCACCCAGCAGGAGGTGCGAACAGACTCGGGTACTTGGTATGTGTGTTTTTACAGCAGCAGCGTGCACAACGGCTACAGGGCAGAAACAGCCTGCGTGCGGATTACTGTTCAGCCTGAAAGGGGGGGCCTGCTGACACCTGCTACGGCACAGACGACAACTGCTCAGCAGAGTGCGCCAGTCACAGAAGGACAGACACGGGGGGACCGCTCATGAGGGGCGGAGAGGCTCCCTCCACGGGGGCCAGGGGCCCGTTCAGTGGGGACAGAGATCCCGTTGGGGAGGCTGAGGAAGTTCTGGAGACGGGTGGTGGGGATGGTCACCAGCACACGTGTAGCTAATGCCACTAAAGGTACAGTGAGAAATAGTTAAAAGGGCAGGTTTTGTCACATTTTACCTCAGCGGGAATGCTGAGCCCTGGGTGGCACGTGCACTGCGCCCACTCACCGGTCAGGTGCATGGTCTCCAGGAGCTTGGCCACCAGGGCCCCATCCTCCTCCCGCTCGGCCCGCACGAGGCCCAGCTTCCGGCGCATCTTCTGCAGGTAGTGCCTACGGAACGTGGTGTCAAACTCCTCGGCCAGGATGGCTTTGCCCAGCTCGTGGGGCAGCTCGGGCTCTAGGGCCTCGGCCAGCTTCTGCAGGTTCCATTTGCACACCTCAGGCTGCTTGCTGTACGAGTAGCGCCCAGTGTTGTCAGATGCATTGCACACGTGGTCGGGGTCGTACCTGCCACACAGGTGAGGAGACTGTCTGGGGTGCCCCAAGGCCGTACCTGTGGGCCCACTGCACCCCTGCCTTCCTGGCTCAGGCACCTGTGGCCGCTCTCGGCCCTCTCTGCCCCGAGGCTGCCCCAAGCACAGGGAAGCCACCGTCCTCGGCTGCCCCCCAGGTCATGGCCCTGGCACACTGCCTGCTCCTGCCCTTTCCTCTTTTTAACCCAGAAGTGGAGGGTCCCTTTAAAAATGCCACTTCTCTGCTCGAAACCTTCCAGGGTGCTTGTGCCCCTGCGCATGGCTGAACAGGCCCTGCTGAGAAGGGAGCGTGATGCTCACGCCGCTGAGGACCCCGCCCTGCTGGTTCTGGGGCGGTGTCCCTGGAGGGGCAGCGGGGTTGCGTGGGGCCCACCTGTCCATGAAGCCGAAGGGCCCGTAGTCAATGGTGAGCCCCACGATGCTCATGTTGTCCGTGTTGAGCACGCCGTGGCAGAAGCCAACACACTGCCACTCAGCCACCATCCGGGCCGTGCGGCGCGTCACCTGCGGTAGGATGGGCCCTGGTTGACCCCCGCCCCTCGCTCTTCCCCCACTGAGTTGGCTGTTTCTCAAAGTGGTCCTTGTTCTCCAGAGACTTCCACGGGGGAGAACACTCGACAAGAGTCAAGAAGTAAAAAGAGAATTTTGGATGAGCCTGATGCACACAGGCTCTCATGTCCACATACCCTAGCTGTCTGTTTTATATACTCACAAATTTGTTTCACCCAAACCAAAAAAATGAGGGAACCTTGCCGCCTGAGACTCGGGCCCAATGATGACCATGAAGAAACAAGGGACTTGCCACACTGTCAGGCAAAGCTGCCCTAGTTCCAGGCAGCGGTGCCTCATGCTGCAGGCTGCCAGGGAAGAGGCTCAGGTGGCCCATGCACCCAGACGAGGCGACCCCGCTGCAGCGTGACTACAGCCTCAGGGACACGCGGAGCCCGGGAAAGCAAGGGCCTGCAGGACGCAGGGCTGCTCCCAAGGGCTCCTGCCACCCAGCACCACACCTCTGCCAGGAACCAGGCGGTACTGTCTTCTCAGCCTCTGATGAAGAGACGAGGCTCCGAGGCAGAGCAGCCTGCCAGGTGACCCGCCTCAGGGGAGCTGAGCCCTGCACTCACGTTCTCAGGCCCAGGCCCAGGCCCATGCGAGAGATGGAAAGAAACAGTGTGGCTGCTGCGGCCCCACAGACATTGACTCGGTGTCCGCTTCTGATGGAAGGAATGCTGCCCCACCCTCTCCTCTGCTTCTATTCACTGATGCCACAACAAACAGGGTGTCATGCGTGGGATGTCCGCACGACCCGCTGGGTGGGGGCCACACCTGACAGTTCTGGGCTGGACCCAGACACAACCCGGGGCAGCCAGCATCTCCCCCAGCTTGAGACTGGTCTGGACCAGGTATGCGTGGCTGGGGCCCCTGCGAGCATATGCCCCACCAGCACTCAGGCTCCCCAAGTGGGGCCCTTCCCTCCAAAGTTCTCCCGTTGTCCAGGGCCCCACAAATGCCGCTAGAACAAAGGGACCCTTGGGTTTGTCCCAGGACCCCCGACCCTCAAACGTTTGCAAGAAGTCAGCCCTGGTCACAGCCAGGGAGAGGTGAAGGTCTGGGACAGGGTGCTGACTCTGAGGAGGGCACGGTGAGAACCCATGTGTGTCCACCAGCCAAAAAGACGGTGTCTTCAGTGGCAGGTGGGGGAGGGCAGGGGCCAGGCAACTGTCTGCGGGTTGGGGTGGGGAGCAGCCCCACTTACCTCCCGAAAGAAGGCGGCATTCCTCTGCACGCTGTGGCCGCCGTGAGCAGCCTGGATTTCCGGGTAAAAGGTGCCAATCACATAGTCCAGTATCTGCACTCGAATGTCGTTTCTCCCCACACTGGGGCCGGAGCGCCCTGTGTGCTCGTCTGCAGGCTTAAAAATCTCAAAGGACCCAAACCTGGAGGGAAGACCCAAGTTTTCAACAAGTTAAAACAACTCCACCCACTTGCAAAAAAGGAGGGTCTGGATGCTAGGTCTCAGCCTACAGAGGAAAGAACACATTGATTTAATTAACAGACAAAAATGTTACTAGCCTTTCAGACACTTCAGGTCACTTCCATGCAGCCAGGAACTGCTACACCTGCCCGACTCACCAGGACAAGAAGGGTCTGTGCTGTCCCACACCAAGGGGCACGTCGGTCACCAGCAGCCTACAGTGGGTGACGGGCAGGGTCGGCTTTACTGCACGTACTGCCTGTGGTGGTTGGCAGGTCTCCACCCTAGGGGACCTGAGGCAACGCTGGGGACGTTTTTGGTTGTTATGACTGGGGTTACTACTGGCAACCAGTGGGTGGGGGCCAAGAGGCTGCCCAACACCCCACAAGGCACGGCATGGCCCACAGTAAAGAACAATCTGGTCAAAAGGCCAGGAGTGCCGCTGTGGAGTCTCCTATATGAGGTAGATACCTTCCCTGGCTCCTCCCATCCTCCAGAGAACAAGAGAAAGCCAGGGACCTTAGCCTCAGGTGTGGGGGGCCCAGGGGCTGGTCTGGTGACAGCTGCATTTGACAAGGTCAGCCCGGCCCTGCAGGACAGACAACCACAGGGTCGCCGCAGCTGCTTCCCAACAGCTCTGGGGCAGGAATCAGTACCACACAAATGTTTGATGCTAGTGACATCAAGGGGACATCAAAGACTTACAGGCTCACAAGACAGGAGCTGGAAGGGACTCAGTGACCAGAGGTGTGAGAAAGGCAGCAGACAGACACAGCAGGCATGGGGCAGCCCTTATTCACAGGACAAAGTAAGGCCATTTTCTTGGGAAATTTGATGCAGTTCCTTGTCATAAGCTACAAGGAAACAGCTCGGCACAGGCCCTTCCCAGGACCCCACGTCTGGGCAGCCCCTCTGGCTGCCTGAGGTCTTGCCCCCTTCACCAGTGCTTTGGGGACCCGCTGCCTGGGCCAACCACACACTGGCTAACCAGGCTGCCTTCCATCACCTCCTCTCTGGTAGCAAGGGCCTGGCACGGTGCACAGAGGGCTCAGCACAAGTGTTCACGTCAGGACTGGACTCCAGACGTAGAAAATGCCCAGGGCCTGTTGTGGGGGACACAAGGCATCTACTCTGTGGCCAGGCTGCCCCTCCTGCACTCGGGCCGGGCAGGGGCCGGCTTCTGGCTGCACGCACATTTGCCTCCACCAGGCTTCTCAGCCGCAAAAGCACAGATTTCCTACAACTTGATAAAGCAAGTGCATTACGCAGGCCAAAGGGCCCTGGCATTACCTTAGGAAAGTGGAAGCTATACGCAACACAACCGTGCATGGTTCGTATTTTGGATTACCATCATAGAACATGTCGCGCATGACGGTGGACTGGGATGTGACGCAGGCCCCGGCCCGTGTGGTGGGGATCCCCAAGTGGAACATGGCTTCGCTGCACAGGAACTCCCGGATACTTGACCGCAGGACTTTGCGACCATCGGCCTGTCTGGAATCAAACACAGAGGTCACTGTGTGCTTAGGCAGGCATCCATTCAACAGAGGATAAGACAGCTAATGGAAGGGACTCAAAGCACCCTGTAGGCTTTTAAAAAACAACTCATAAGCAGCTCTAATATCGTCATAAAAATGTCTGCTTTACCTAACACCCATCATCGTCCCTGGCTTGTTGCGGACGCCAAGGACAGCAAAGGCGACGTCAGCCTCTACGAGGTCCCGGCCCACACGCACTTGCAAACCTGCGATTCTGTTTCAGGAATTTATTTAGCAGAAGCACTAGTGGGGAAGAGGTGGACAGCCTTGTAGGCCTTAACCTTTTTTTACACCAAGCCTATTTTTTTTTTCTTTAATAGACTCTATTTTCCAGAGCAATTTTAGGTTCAGAGAAAAATGGATCAGAAGGTATAGGGTTTTCTCATGTACCTCCTGTCCCTCCACACATATGACCTTCCCCACTGTCAATATTCCATCAGATCAGACATTTGTTACAACTCATGAACCTACACTGACATGTCACCACCACTGGCGTCCAGTCTCCATCAGGGTCACTCTTGGTGGTGTTTGTCCTGTGGGTTTGGACACGTGTGATGCGTGTCCACCATCACAGTGTCACACAGGGTAGCTTCCCTGCCCTAAAACCCTCTGCTCCCCCCGGTCATCACCCCCTCCTCTGACCTCTGGCCGCCACTGGTCCTTTACTGCCTCCGAGAGTGTCACAGAGCTGGAGTCACACGCTCCGCAGCCTTTTCCAACTGGCCTCTTTCATGCAGTGACATGTGTTTAAGGCTCCTGCACGTCTTTCCTTGGCTTCAGAGCCCATCTCTTTTCAGTGCTGATAACATCCCATTGTCTGGACGGACCACAGCTTTCTCTGCATCAGCTGCTGAGGGACATCCCGGCTGCTTCCACGTCTTGGCAATTATGAGTAAGGCTGCTGTAAATGTCTGTGTGCACATTTTTGTGTAGCTGTAAGGTTTCAGCTCCTTTGGGTAAATGCCACGGAGTGCGACCACTGGAATCGAATGGCAAGAGTCTGTTCAGTGTGGTGACAAACTGCCAAACTGTCTCCCAAGGTGGCTGCACCACTCTGCACCCGCCCGGCAATGACTGAGCATTCCTGCGGCCCCGCATCCTCGGCAGCACATGGTGTTGTGGGCGGCCTGGGCCTTGGTCAGCCAGCAGGTGTGTGGTGGGTGGGGTCCCACTGCTTTTACCCTGAATTTCCCAGGTGGCACAGGCTGCGGAGCCTCTTCTTGCGTGCTTATTTGCCAACTGTGTGTATCTTTGGTGTCATGTCTGTTCAGGTCTTTGGCCCATTTTAAAATGAGGTATCTGTTTTCTTCTTGAGTCTCTAGAGGGGTATACAATTTTGGGGTATAGCCCTTTATTAGATATGTCTTTGCAAATTTTTCTCCCCGTCTATGGATTTTCTCATTGTCTTAATGACTTCTGCAGAGCCTAAGTTTTAACTTCACTGAATACCAGCTTATCTATCTAAATCTATCTAAAGATATTTTTATCTAAATCATTATTGCCATGCCCAAGGTCCTCTAGGTTTTCTCCTATTTCATCTTTTAGCTTTATACTTTTGTATTTTACATTTATGTTTGATCTACTTTGAGTTAATTTCCATGAAAGGTGTAGGGCCTGTGAGTGGGTTCATTTTTCGCATGTGGACATCCAGTTGTTCCAGCACCACTTGTTGAAAAGACTGTCTCTGCTCCTCTGCCGCAGGGAAGGTGACTCTATTTATGTGGGTCTATTTCTGGGCTCTCTGTTCTTTCACCACGGTTACTGCAGCTTTAAGTGAAGCTTGAAGACAGGCAGTGTCAGTTCTCCAACCTTGTTTGGTACCACGTTGGCCACACTGGGGCACTTGCCTCTCCACATAAATTTTAGAATGTTTGTCAATATCCACAAAATACCTTGCTGTACTGCATCTGTAGATCAAGTTGGGAAGTACTGACATCTTGACAACACTGAGTCTTCGTAGCTGTAGACATGGAATATCTTTATATTTAGTTTTTTGATATATTTTATCAGTTTCATAGTTTTCCTCATACAGATCTTGAGCATACTTTGTTAGATTTACACTAAATATTTCATTTTTGGAGTCCTAATATAGTTTTAATTTCAGATTCCAATTGTTCATTGCTGGTATATAGTATAGTGATTGCATTTTATATAGTAATTTTATATCCTACAACCTTGTTATAACTGGCTATTTGGTTCCTTTTTTGTTGTTGAGATTTCCCTACAAATTTCCTCTTTGTCTTACTGCATTAACTAAGACTTCAGTATGATATTGAAAAGCAGTGGTGAGAAGAGACATCTTTGTCTAATGTCTGATCTTAGTGGGAAAGCTTTGAGGTTCTCATCATTAAGGAGATGATAAGACTTAGGTTTTCTGTAGATAGTCTTTATCAGTTTGAGGAAGTTCCTTTCCATTCTGCCTTTTATTGAGTCTTTATCTAAAAGGGTACTGAATCTTGTCAAATGCTTTTTCTGCATGTATTGATGGGATTTTCTTTCTTTAGCCTGTTGATATGATCTATTATGTTTATTAATTTTTCAGTATCAAACCAGCTGTGCATATCTGGACTAAATTCCATTTGGTCACAGTCTATAATAATTCTTTTCAGACACTGTTGGAATCAGTCTGCTATTTTGTTGAGGATTATCTATGTATCTATGTTCATCAGAGATTTTGGTCTGTAGTTTCTTATATTGTCTTTGATTTGGTATTAGGGTAACACTGACCTCATAAATGAATTATTATTATTATTATTATTATTACTTATTTTTATTTTGGTATCATTAATTTACAGTTACATGAAGAACATTATGTTTACTAGGCTCCCCCCTTCACCAAGTCCCCCCCACAATCCCCATTAC